ATTTTGCATCTCTTGTGATTTTGCATTTCTGGTGATTTTGAATTTCTTGTGATTTTGAATTTAGTTAATTTGTGATTTTGCATTTCTTGTGATTTTGAATTTCTTGTGATTTTGAAATTAGTCAATTTGTGATTTTGAATTTCTTGTGATTTTGAATTTCTTGTAATTTTGCATTTCTTGTGATTTTGCATTTAGTTAATTTGTGATTTTGCATTTCTTGTGATTTTGCATTTCTTGTGATTTTGAATTTAGATAATTTGTGATTTTGCATTTCTTGTGATTTCGCATTTCTTGTGATTTTGAATTTAGCTAATTTGTGATTTTGCATTTCTTGTGATTTTGCATTTAGTTAATTTGTGATTTTGCATTTCTTGTGATTTTGCATTTCTTGTGATTTTGAATTTCTTGTGATTTTGTATTTCTTGTGATTTTGCATTTAGTTAATTTGTGATTTTGCATTTTTTGTGATTTTGCATTTTTTGTGATTTTTAATTTAGTTAATTTGTGATTTTGCATTTCTTGTGATTTTTAATTTAGTTAATGTGTGATTTTGCATTTCTTGTGATTTTGCATTTCTTGTGATTTTGAATTTCTTGTGATTTTGAATTTAGTTTATTTGTGATTTTGAATTTAGTTTATTTGTGATTTTGCATTTCTTGTGATTTTGAATTTAGTTAATTTGTGATTTGGCATTTCTTGTGATTTTGCATTTCTTGTGATTTTGAATTTAGTTGATTTGTGATTTTTGCATTTTTGTGATTTTTGCATTTCTTGTGATTTTAAATTTAGTTGATTTGTGATTTTGCATTTCTTGTGATTTTGAATTTAGTTAAATACCTGAACTATTGTTGGCAGGGATAATCACCGTTTCCTGGTTGTTGGTAAGGTGCTTGGATGTGTTTCGATGACATTCCGAATGACATTGCTGGTGAGGGCCCCACCAGAAATATCCCTCTGAGTATCATTGGAACATATTCAACGCCTTGCAAACAACCAAGAGAGTCTGGCTCTCCCATTGTGATTTCTTGTGATTTTGCATTTAGTTAATTTGTTATTTTGCATTTCTTGTGATTTTGCATTTCTTGTGATTTTGAATTTAGTTAATTTGTGATTTTGCATTTCTTGTGATTTTGCATTTGTTGTGATTTTGCATTTTTTGTGATTTTGAATTTAGTTAATTTGTGATTTCGCATATCTTGTGATTTTGCAGTTCTTGTGATTTTGCATTTAGTTAATTTGTGATTTTGCATTTCTTGTGATTTTGAATTTCTTGTGATTTTGAATTTAGTTAATTGGTGATTTTGCATTTCTTGTGATTTTGCATTTCTTGTAATTTTGAATTTACTTAATTTGTGATTTTGCATTTCTTGTGATTTTGAATTTAGTTAATTGGTGATTTTGCATTTCTTGTGATTTTGAATTTAGTTAATGTGTAATTTTGCATTTCTTGTGATTCTGAATTTAGTTAATTTATGATTTTGCATTTCTTGTGATTTTGCATTTTTTGTGATTTTGCATTTCTTGTGATTTTGCGATTCTTGTGATTTTGCATTTCTTGTGATTTTGAATTTAGTTTATTTGTGATTTTGCATTTCTTGTGATTTTGAATTTAGTTAATTTGTGATTTGGCATTTCTTGTGATTTTGCATTTCTTGTGATTTTGAATTTAGTTAATTTCATTTCAAAAAGCAGTTACTCAAGCAACTGGATCTGATTTATGATTTTCTGATTTATGATTTTCTGATTTATGATTTTCTGATTTATGATTTTATCCAGTTGCTTGAGTAACTTAGCGTGTTATTGTCTAACCTTCATCGATGTAATTCAATAATTTATGATTTTATAGCTGAAAAAATTTAACAGTTCCTTCTGTGTACCTGAACTATTGTTGGCAGGGATAATCACTGTTTCCTGGTTGTTGGTAAGGTGCTTGAATGTGTTTCGATGACATTCCGAGTGACATTGCTGGTGAGGGCCCCACCAGAAATATCCCTCTGAGTATCATTGGAACATCTTCAACGCCTTGCAAACAACCAAGAGATTGTGGCTCTCCCTACTGACAATGCCTTGGGTAGATAGCGGGTAATTGTTACATTTCTTAATTTAGTGGACGAAAATTTTTCATCACAAATCATTAATTTCCTGTCATGCCTCTACCAGACTGTTCATGTTGTGTCAAATAAAATACATTGTACATGTACTTGAATTGACTTTTCTCGTTTTTAGTTTTCATAGGTAAAGATGACGACGACATCGGACAACCTCTCATCATGAAGATCGCCGCCATGCTGACTATGTCTTGCCGCTATGCTGACAATGCTTTGGGTAAGGGGTAATTGTTACATTTCTTAGGGACTGTACGATAGTTTACCGGGGGGGGGGGAGGCTGGNTAATTTGTGATTTTGCATTTCTTGTGATTTTGCATTTCTTGTAATTTTGAATTTAGTTAATTTGTGATTTTGCATTTCTTGTGATTTTTCATTTCTTGTGATTTTGAATTTAGTTAATTTGTGATTTTGCATTTCTTGTGATTTTGCATTTCTTGTGATTTTGAATGTAGTTAATTTGTGATTTTTGCATTTCTTGTGATTTTTGCATTTCTTGTGATTTTGAATTTAGTTAATTTGTGATTTTGCATTTCTTGTGATTTTGCATTTCTTGTGAGTTTGAATTTAGTCACTTTGTGATTTTGCATTTCTTGTGATTTTGCATTTCTTGTGATTTTGAATTTAGTTAATTTATGATTTTGCATTTCTTGTGATTTTGAATTTGGTTAATTTGTGATTTTGCATTTCTTGTGATTTTGAATTTAGTTAATTAATTTGTGATTTTGCATTTCTTGTGATTTTGCATTTCTTGTGATTTTGCATTTCTTGTGATTTTGAATTTAGTTAATTTGTGATTTTGCATTTCTTGTGATTTTGCATTTCTTGTGATTTTGCATTTAGTTAATTTGTGATTTTGCATTTCTTGTGATTTTGAATTTAGTTAATTTGTGATTTTGCATTTCGTGTGATTTTGCATTTCTTGTGATTTGGAATTTAGTCAATTTTTGATTTTGAATTTCTTGTGATTTTGCATTTCTTGTGATTTTGCATTTAGTTAATTTGTGATTTTGCATTTCTTGTGATTTTGCACTTTTTGTGATTTTGAATTTAGTTTATTTGTGATTTTGCATTTCTTGTGATTTTGAATTTAGTTAATTTGTGATTTGGCATTTCTTGTGATTTTGCATTTCTTGTGATTTTGCATTTCTTGTGATTTTGAATTTAGTTAATTTGTGATTTTGCATTTCTTGTGATTTTGCATTTGTTGTGATTTTGCATTTTTTGTGATTTTGAATTTAGTTAATTTGTGATTTCGCATATCTTGTGATTTTGCAGTTCTTGTGATTTTGCATTTTGTTAATTTGTGATTTTGCATTTCTTGTGATTTTGCATTTCTTGTGATTTTGAATTTAGTTAATTTGTGATTTTGCATTTTTTGTGATTTTGCATTTTGTTAATTTGTGATTTTGCATTTCTTGTGATTTTGCATTTCTTGTGATTTTGAATTTAGTTAATTGGTGATTTTGCATTTCTTGTGATTTTGAATTTAGTTAATGTGTAATTTTGCATTTCTTGTGATTCTGAATTTAGTTAATTTATGATTTTGCATTTCTTGTGATTTTGCATTTTTTGTGATTTTGCATTTCTTGTGATTTTGCGATTCTTGTGATTTTGCATTTCTTGTGACTTTGAATTTAGTTAATTTGTGATTTTGCATTTCTTGTGATTTTGAATTTAGTTAATTCTTGATTTTGCATTTCTTGTGATTTTGCATTTCTTGTGATTTTGAATTTAGTTAATTTCATTTCAAAAAGCAGTTACTCAAGCAACTAGATGATTTTCTGATTTATGATTTTCTGATTTATGATTTTATCCAGTTGCTTGAGTAACTTAGCGTGTTATTGTCTAACCTTCATCGATGTAATTTAATAATTTATGATTTTATAGCTGACAAAATGTAACAGTTCCTTCTGTGTACCTGAACTATTGTTGGCAGGGATAATCACTGTTTCCTGGTTGTTGGTAAGGTGCTTGGATGTGTTTCGATGACATTCCGAGTGACATTGCTGGTGAGGGCCCCGCCAGAAATATCCCTCTGAGTATCATTGGAACATATTCAACGCCTTGCAAACAACCAAGAGATTGTGGCTCTCCCTACTGACAATGCCTTGGGTAGATAGCGGGTAATTGTTACATTTCTTAATTTAGTGGACGGAAATTTTTCATCACAAATCATTAACTTCCTGTCATGCCTCTACCAGACTGTTCATGTTGTTTCAAATAAAATACATTGTACATGTACTTGAATTGACTTTTCTCGTTTTTAGTTTTCATAGGTAAAGATGACGACATCGGACAACCTCTCATCATGAAGATCGCCGCCATGCTGACTATGTCTTGCCGCCATGCTGACAATGCCTTGGGTAAGGGGTAATTGTTACATTTCTTAGTGGACGGAAATTTTGCATCACAAATCATTAACTTCTTGTCATGCCTCCACCAGTACTGTTTATCTGACGAATGACGAATCACTGCCTGACTGTTCATGTTGTGTGAAATAAAATACATTGTACATGTACTTGAATGGACTTTTCTCGTTTTTTGTTCTTTTCATAGGTGAAGGTGAGGCCGTCCTCCTGCCACAGCCTGCATGGCCGCCGACCACCGCGGCCAGGGACACCACGGCACGACCATCGGCTTGCACTCTCCCCGGCCCGACCACCTGCCGGGTGACGCCCTCCGGCCCGACCACCCGTTGTTGGCAGCTGCAGGGATAATCACTGTTTCCTGGTTGTTGGTAAGGTGCTTGAATGTGTTTCGATGACATTCCGAGTGACATTGCTGGTGAGGGCCCCACCAGAAATATCCCTCTGAGTATCATTGGAACATCTTCAACGCCTTGCAAACAACCAAGAGATTGTGGCTCTCCCTACTGACAATGCCTTGGGTAGTCACGGCCCGACCACCGCGGCCAGGGACGCCACGACCGGACCATCGGCTTGCACTCTCCTTGACTTGAAGTATCGTGTATATGTGTAATAAGATCATGTTAGTCAACTGTTGCTCATGTTACGAACTGTCTAAAGGTTACGAAGTGTTTAAACGTTACGAAGTGTGCTGTGCGTAACGTTAAACTATACATGTTGTGTGAAATAAAATACATGTAACGTTACCTGAATTTTCAAATGTCATTCATGGTACAGTGTATTTGCACAATTTCCAGCAGTATGGGTCAGAAGTGATGTGAAACTCTTTTTTGATGACAAAATGAATGAATGAACCCTCTTCATTCTTGAATGCTTGTTTGGTTAATACTAATAATGGATGTGCCTCATTTACATGTACCTTGGTAGTGTCAATGACTTAGCCCTTATAACTAGCGTAAATACCTAGCGTAGTAGTAGAAGTAGAAGTTTTTTTCCAGACAGCTGTTACCTGTCCCCTGTTACTGTATTGCAATGAGTATTAACAACGTTATACTTTCATATCAACGCTTTTCTGTGAGTGTAATTAGCCCACAGGGGATAGAAGGGGAGGTTGTGTCAAAATTATACATTTGTTAAAGATCAAACCCCCAGCACACCACTTAGGTGCAATGTGACCTCAGGTAACCCGCAATGGAACACGTGTTCCATGGATGGAACCGGCCATTCTTTAGATAGAACATGGAACGGGTACAGCACTTTTGGCCCTTTTTTTGCTGAAAATAGCCATTAAAGTCCCCCAATTGAGTCATTTGGAAGTGGTGTATGCCAAATACATGACTGCCATTCTGTAGACACACGTTCAAGGTACCCTTATACCGAATTTCATATCATTTGGTTGTAATACCAGGGCTCAGGATCCAAAAATCCATTTTTTGTCTAAAAATGCCCCAAAAAACCTTCATAAAAATTTTTCAAAGGCATATTTCAAAAAAATGAAAAAAAAAACGTCTGGGGGTATTTGCCCACTCTACCTCCATGCCAAATTTCAGGTCATTTGGCTGAATGATGGCGGAGTTGAATCCCTCTGACTGTTTGGCAGGAGGAGAAGGAGGAGAAGGAGGAGAAACATGAGAGAACACAATATATTTCATCCATACCATGGTATGGACTGAAATATAAACATCAGAGAACACAATATATTTCATCCATACCATGGTATGGACTGAAATATAATGAGAGAACACAATATATTCATCCATACCATGTATGGACTGAATATAATAAATATATAGACCATGACATCAAATAACAATAAATATGTATAATAAAACCTACCGCAGGTGATCTTGCATATTGCGCGTACTCATACATCTGACAGTCACACTTCCAAGGGTTGTTGGTCATGTCTTCAAGTTCCATCAAATCTCCGTAGAAGGTCAGAGGTTTGTAGATTCCACCAGGCAGGAACTGTAGGTAGTTGTTGTTCAGTCGCAGCCACTTTATGTCAACTGACACATTGAAGGCAGTTTCATCTACAGCGTTGAAGAAGAAATTACAGAACCATTTAGTGTTTTTGTACTGCAGAAAATGAAATTTATTTCTTTAATCAAGAATTCCCTTGACAGACAACATTTTTGAAAATATTCTAATGTTACAATAAAGCCACAACACGTAGTAACAAGAATTCGGAGATCTCAGACCTCCATGAAATATTTCCACATCTTGTGTGATGGTGACTGCGTTCTCTTCTTATTCACCGTGGTGTCTACAAGTCTTTCTTTATCAAGCGACAGAAACAACACCAGCTGTCAAGTAGGTCATGTTACAAAACAATGGTGAAAACAGCGAGTGCTACCAGATATGATTAGTGACTTTCTCCCTCTGGGACAGACTTAAAACCTTCCACATCCATTACAACCTGAGCTAAGGACCATACGGAAACACAGACACACACACGGACATACACACAAAGATATACCATGCAAAACCATACCTGTTTTTCATAGAGGTAGCTATTGGTGTAGCATTCCTTACCTATAATGCGGAGTTTTGTATGATCCAAATGAACAGCAGCAAGCTCCTTGTTGAAGGCCTTGGGGCCCACGTAGACAATGGGGTTGCCTGAGAGGTCCAGTTCGTACATCCGTGTCAGCCTGTCGAAGACCCCCTCTGGCACTGACGTCAGATTGTTCCCACTGCAATACAAGAAGACTTTATCATAATGCAGGTTAGATAAAGAGTAGGGTACAGGGCAAAGGCCTGTAATCCAAGTGCAGTGGTCCAAGTTTTAACCTATGACAGATTGTCATTATTGAACCAAATGTTGACAAGTCTTTTTTCTTGGTAAGTAAATTAATTTTGTTGTTTTCTTTCGAGGGGGGGTGTAGCTGGATGATGTAGGAAATGTTTTAAAGTGTATTTTTTTTTCTATTTCATTGATTTTTAGCCATGTTTTCATTGTCTGGATTGCTGAAGAAGATACAGACTTTCATGCCGTCATCAGTTGTTCAGAGGGGTCAGGAATGTTCCGGTTTTAAACTAAATGGCAACTTTAGAATTTGGAGTATACCCTACAAATGAGTGTACTCTAGTATTTCAAGGTCTATGTAGATGACTATTGATCACATAATTCAAATATATTAAGATAGGTTGGTGGTCTTTGCTCATAATGTCTGTGCCAGATCATTCAATGAGATCTGAACTTCTACACACAAATGCTACCTGCTTGCCGTTAGTACAGTATTAACCACAACGTATTGGTGTACATGTACCTCAAGGTTTCTTTTTATCGTAATATGATAGCCTCTCGCACGAAAAAATGGTCATTCCTTACCTAAGGTTGAGTCTTGTGATGTTCAACATGTTGGCGAAATCGTCGCGGTTGAGAGTTGAGATCTCGTTTCCTGATAAGTTGAGCGTTTCCAGTAGTCTGATTTTTCCGAGCGCTTCTGAAGGAACCCGAGTGAGCCTGTTATCGGCGAGGTTCAAAGTCCCCAGCCTGCCGAGTCCGGCGAACACGCCCGCGTCAATGGTGCCTTTCTCTATGAAATACTTTATACCAGAGAGACCGAGGGTAGTGATGCTGGGGATATGGGAGAACTGGCCCTGTACGAGGGACTCCAGTGGGTTGTACGACAGATCTAGCGTACCAAGTGAACCTGGTAGCGGCGGTACTTGGGAAAGTAGGTTAGAGGACAGCATGACTTGCCCTATCCCGTTAGGTAGCGGCGAGTCCATGCGGACAAGCTTGTTGTTGTGCAGGTCAAGAAAGTTCAAACTAGAGAGGTTAGCAAACACCTGTCCTGTGATGGCGCGAAGCTGGTTATTAGAAAGGTCTAGATTATTAAGGCCATGGAGTCCTTCGAACGTGTTTTCCTCAAGAGCTACTAACTGATTAGCGGACAGGTCGAGCTGGAGTGTCCCGTGCGGTAGAGTGAAGTTTATTTTCACAAGCTTGTTGTTGTGTAGGTTAAGAAACATCAGACTCGAGAGGCTAGCAAACACCTGTCCCGTGATGGTGCGAAGTTGATTGTCAGAAAGATCCAACACAAGGAGCTTGTCAAGTCCTCCGAACGTGTTATCGTCCAGTGCCACTATCTGGTTGCTCTTCAAACTGATACTGTTGGTAAATATATTGCCTAAACCTTGGAACACTCCCGCTAGGCTTGACAGATTGTTGTTGTCAAGAACAAGCGCGTTTATTTTACTAAATGCCGAAAGTGCCCCGGGCTCAATGACAGAAATGTTGTTGTTCTGTAACTGGATTTCCCTGGCCCCTATCGGAGCATCGAACACGCCTTTCCTGATGTCCCGGATGTGGTTGTTTTCCAAGCTGAAGACGATGGAGTTGGACAGGTTGGAGAAAGCTCCCACTTCTATTGTCTCGATCTGATTGTAGCTGAACAGTACCTCCTAGACAGTGTAATAGAAACGTGTTGCAATGCGTTTGTTTGGATGAATAAGGTCTTGATCGATGCACGAAAACTTAGATTTACCGGGCCAGTATAGTTGGGTAATGTTTACTTTGTTTTTTCTTAATAAACACTTCTGAACTTAACAATGTCAGTAAATAAAAGTCAAGTACGATAATACCGGACTTTAAACGGTTGCAAAGGAAATTGCTGCAATTGACCTTTATTTATTTCCATTGTAAAGCCAGATACTGTGTACATAGTAAACATTACCTGAGTTTACAACCATTGGTAAATCCACCTTTTCGTGCAGTATGATATACTATGGTTTCATATGTTACGGCTGTTTATTTGTCATTGATGTTTGTGAGTGATGTTTTATCATATTATGTAACTACAGTGCAACAACGAATTTGCCAATTTTATGATTTAGATAAAATGGATGGATGAATGCAATCTTGTTGTTGATTGTGCATTGCATGGAAATGAGATACATGTATCTACTATAATGGTATACAAAATAAGTTTCCCTGTTTTCAAAATTTAGATAGAACAAAGATTTTTTCATTCATTATGGAATTAGACAAACCGTGTATTATAAGCTCCATATACATATCTTCACAGTACTAGTCGAACTGGTACGCAGTAGTACACATCAGTATGTTTAGTGAGGTATCTGTACATTCTGTATAGTAAAATATATCTGTGCTTTATACATGGCGTTTGCTTTGCTTGTAATAGCATACATTTACAATAATGGTCTTTCATATTTTCTCTCGTGTGAAGATATCAGACAGCATACTGTTTTTGAAACACTTCATGTAGCTCTCTTGTGTAGCTAAAGAATAATAATTGGAAAACGCGGCATACCTGTAAGTTTGGCAGGTCTTTGAAAACCCCCTTCTGTATTTTAGTCAGCTTGTTTCCATCTGCCACCACACTCTGTAGCTGCCCACAGCCCCTGAAGACACCCGGGGGGAGGTCGGATATTTGGTTGCTGCCGATCTCGATGTCCACAATCGCTGGAACATCGTCAAAGGCGCCGACCTCGATGGTTTGTAGTTTGTTGTTGAAGAGATACAAGGTTGTCAGTATTGGGAGACCGGCCAGATCGCCTTTCCGTACCACACGGAGTTCCGTACCTGAGTTATAGGGTGATAAAATTACCATTGACGTGATATGATTATATAAAACATATTGATTTTTGCACAGTTTCTTCTCACTCGTCTTCTTCCTGTCCAAACAAATAATAAAGTCAAAGACCTGGACCAGATGTCTGTCCCCATGGTAACTGGTGCTGTAGCAACACCCTATGGTGTTGGGTTACATTATGTAACAGAGTTGGAAGAACAAACAGAGAAATAAGAAATAAGAATAAACAGAGCAGTAGTTTGTTAGGCTAGACCATGTGACCATGAAGGTAACCATAATGCATTTTGCTTTGCAAATATTACCTCTCTTAGATTTTATATATTTCACGATGATGTCATCTAAGGCGTTGTATTGTAGAAAGTAGAGGGCAACAAAAGTTTATTTTTATTGCTCTCTGCGTTGATGTAAAAGTCACGTTTCACACTAAGAGCAATCTTCGATTGTATTCACCCTTTTTGCCTGATGTGATTTGCGTGCATACCTTTCATCTGCAGGAGAGTAGTGTTACTCGGGATGCCTTTAGGAATATGGTCCAGGGTTGGGGTGTTGCATTGCACGCTGGGTACATCGTGAAAACACGTACATTCCGGAGGGCAGGCGTGCACAGCAGCCAAAGCCGTGGCGACACAAAAGAGTATGAACATGGTGTCCGTAGACCTGGGTTCAGGTAACAATAGACAAAATTTCACCAAAACTGGCAAATTCAGAGTAACTGAAGAGTAACTGTAGAAAACTAACCAGGGGCGTATTTATTTATCGGTGTGGCTGTTCAACCCTCACAGCCAGGGAGCCCGACTAGAGTGGCTATTACAAAGGGCTTGCCCGGGGCATATTCCCATATATGGACTTTTTTTTTATCAAACATTAAGGCTGTACAAACTTGGGAGGCGTACGCAGCCTCAACCTCCCCATGTCACATGCCGGACCAATTATCCAGTACATTATAATAGTATGTCTGCCAAGCTATAAACCTACGTGCTGGCCCTATGAAGAGTGACATAGGGAACATTTAAACCCAGTTAGTTTTCTTATAATGAAGCTGTGGTCTCATACAAACGTAATAATTCATTATAAACGTTGGCAGGACGTGTTTAGTACATATCGAAGTTCATCATTACTTCGTGACAAGGTATAAGCGTAACAAACATGTGGATCTCCGATTCAAATCAACAGGCAGATCTTTTACACACTGGTTATGACTGTGACGTAAGGAGTACTACGGCTAAATAAGGAGGCTGTACCTCTCGCAGGGTCCAGTCACACGGTTATGTTGTTCCCGTCCTTTTGAAAAAGAAGCACAGTTCAAAGTTTCCCCTGTCTTGCCTGGCTGCTAAAGGTGCAAAGTCAAACGTGAACTCGTCTGCAAATATTGGGCTTGTTCCTTGAGGCCAATAGGACGGGGTCATGTCAACAGGTCATAGGTCAGATAGGCTATCCATTGGCATCCATATTATACACTTGTGTCAAGCCAAACACATGATCCTGCCAAATACATGACTCTGGCACTACTTGGGGGTTTCCAATATACCTGATGAGAAAAGGGGTGGGAGGGGTTTTTATCAGTTGTGATATGGGAGACCACACCTAACCTAACCTAAATCGTAAGTCCAACCCTAGCCCTGAACAATGATCCCAACCCTAACCCTAACTCTAATACCAACCCTAACCATTACCTTAGTCCTAATCACCTGATCTCTCACGTATATGGCAGCTTAAGGATTTGGCTCAACACCGGATGCCATGAACCGCAGGTCATTGGGATCTTTGTACATGTTATCCCAGACCCGAGGTTAATTTGTCCTACATACATAAATGGAAGAAAGGTCATGGAATCAAGATATATGTATGGCACCAATAAAGAATCTCATAGTCCTTAATTACAATGCGAAATATCCGACTGATCTTTCTATATACAATGTATGCTTGTATGTAGACCTTACTGTAAAACGACGTCATTTGTACGTCTACCTCTGTTCTATGTCAGTCTGACCTAAAAGTTAAACACCTAGCTGACCCAAACTATATCAGAGGTGGTCGACAATATTTGCAGAGGACTCTTTATTTTGCACCCGGCGCAAAGTTTACTGTGTACCTTTTGCTAAAAGCTGCGTCAGAGAGAACTTTGGACTGCGCTTGTTTTTCTTCTACCAGGACTCGCTGTCCGAGTGTCACAGGTAGGTCTCTTGATAATATCCTAAATCTATGTCATTTGTCCATGCATGTTACAAAGTGTCATGAAACCGGGTGTCATAAAATGTGACGTGGCTGATGTTAATGCTATGTCTCAGTAATTGTGACTTGTAACGTTGATGCTCTCCCACATATGGACTCTGAACTAAGAATCTTTCCAACATACCTATTGTCGAGTGAAGATTACGAACTACTCTCCTTTTTGTATGTAAGTTGAGCATCCAACGAAATATTCCCTCAACTGTAAAAATTACGATGTTTCATCGTTATACGCTATGACAATTTTCAGTCCTCCGAGATTCGAAGACTTGACAGTTTTTCTTGTTTGTTTGTATGAAGCCGGGCACCATGTTTGACGGGTGGAAGGCCGTCCTGTTCTTCTGTGTGGCCACGTCTTTGGCTGCTGTGCACGCCTGCCCTACTGAATGTACATGTTTCGACGATGTACCCAGCGTGCAATGCAACACCCCGACCCTGGACCATATTCCTAAAGGCATCCCGAGTAACACTACTCTGCTACAGATAAAAGGTAACGTGTGTGACATGTACGCAGAACTATTAACATGCTCTTTTAGAATAAGTGTACAGCTACAGTCAAACTTGTCTATAGTGGTCACCCAAGGGACTGAGAAAATTTAAGCACTATAGACGGGTGAACACTATAGAGAGAGAAAGTCCATGTCTGATCACAAGCATAAATGACATATGGACTTTCAGTTCCCATTGAGATATCTATATTTAATTCCTGTCACCTTTTTAAACTGACATCTATAACTCAATTATTGTCCTTTTACTGTTGTTATGTACGTGAACAAAAACATTGCAATTTCCCTGACACTTATATTTCAGTTATAACGTTGTACATGTAATTCCCCCAGTTTTGTAGACGGCAACATCAATTGTTACCTTTGTCAAGATGGTTATGCTTTTGGTATATAGGAGGCCATAGTTTTATGTTTGCTGTTTTATTTAATGTAGGAACGGAACTTAGGGAGGTCAAGAAAGGTGATCTGGCCGGACTCCTAATGCTGAAAACCTTGTATCTCTTCAACAACAAACTACAAACCATCGAGGTCGGCGCCTTTGACGATGTTCCTGCGATAGAGACCATAGAGATGGGCGGCAACCAAATGTCGGACCTCCCTCCTGGGCTCTTCAGGGGTTGTGACAACTTACAGAGCTTCGTCGCGGATGGAAACCGGTTCACTACGATACGAGAGGGAGTTTTCAACGACTTACCGAACCTACAGGTACTAGTACTTCACGATTCAAGTTACATTTGCATAAGTGCATAGCTATATTTCATGAAAAAAAAACTAAGAACTAATAGTTGTATCTGAGTTACCGCAAAAGTGATAGAACCTCTACAAACAGAAATATTTAATTATAGAACTAACGCAAACACATGTGCAACTGTTTACTATATGAAATAGTTTGTCTACATTGCATAACAAGGCATCAACCTACAGCTGGGGGTCAAAGGCCACAGGGAATTCTGGGATACGCGTGTGCCTGCTGTAGCATTAATCAATAAACAGGGCCTTCTCAAGTTTTCAATCCACCAAGGCATGGATTTTATTGTTTCAATTTGGTTCTGTCATATCACTAGGTTGTACGAATCGGAAGCAATCAGATCGAGACAATAGAAGTGAGAGCTTTCTCCAACCTGTCCAACTCTATCGTCTTCAGCTTGGAAAACAACCACATCCGGGACATCAGGAAAGGCGTGTTCGATGCTCCACAAGGAGCGACACAAATCCAGTTACAGAACAACAACATTTCTGTCATTGAGCCCGGGGCACTTTCGGCTTTCAGTAAGATTTACATGCTCCTGCTCGATAACAACGTTCTGTCTACCATTACAGGCGCGCTAAAGGGTCTAGATGATGCGGAAATTATAAGCATAAATAACAATCAGATAGTGGCACTGGCCGAAAACACGTTCGAAGGACTACACAAACTTCGTCGCCTGGACCTCTCTGATAACCAGCTTCGCGCCATCACGGGACAGGTGTTTGCTAACCTCTCTAGTTTAAACTTTCTTAACCTGCACAGCAACAAGCTTGTCCGCATGGACTCGCCGCTACCTAACGGGATAGGGCAAGTCATGCTGTCCTCTAACCTACTGTCTGAAATCCCTCCCTTGTCTGGCCCACTCGAGACGCTAGATCTGTCCTACAACCCACTGGAGTCCCTCGTACAGGGCCAGTTCTCCCATATCCCCAGCATCACTACCCTCGGGCTCTCTGGTATAAAGTATTTCATAGAGAAAGGCACCATTGACGCGGGCGTGTTCGCCGGACTCGGCAGGTTGGGGACTTTGAACCTCGCCGATAACAGGCTCACTCCGGGTTACCTTCGGAAGCGCTCGGGAAAATCAACCAGTTAGACACGCTAAATCTGGCTGGGAACGAGATCACAAGTCTCCATCCCAGTGACTTCGTCAACCAGACGACTATTATGAGGCTTGGATCTCAGGTAAGTTATT